ATTTGAACAGACTAAAATTAGTTTTTGTGACTCTTAGTCTCAATTCTGTCAATGGCATCCTATGTGAACAGGAGTTTATAAGACCTAATTAAAAAGAATTGTATTAGCTATTTTCCATTTTAACATGCCTATATTTTGAAAGCTGAATCTTAATTATCCAAACAAATTTTTAAACACTGGAGCCCTTTGAGAAAGGAATACAAGCACCCCATTTTACAGATGAGAAAATGGGACTTGAAGAAGCACATTCAAAGGAATCTAGATCACTGACTCTCAAATAGCTAAGCTCTTAGCTTCTCCATTAAGGGGTCTTACACATGTTCTCAGGGACAGATAGGTACAGTAAATAAGAGAAGCAGTTGAGGAGACTAAGATGAATTGTAGAGCACATGTCCAACAAAGACAGTTTCAGCTATTCAGCTCTAGAACAGTATAGGCAGGCAGACATGGCCGAACTTGAGAAATCAGACTAGCTAGCTGGCAAGCAAAATATCGAGGTTGTGAAATAATCTGATTTCAAAATATTGGCTTAATTTTTAAAAATTCATTTATTTATATGTGGTGCTGAGGAACCTAGTGCCAGGCAAGCGCTGTACCACTGAGCCACAACCCCAGCCCCTAACTCAATTTTTTTCTTAAAAATTATGTACTAGAAAAAAAATAAAAGAAACTAGTAGTACTGGCTAAGAAAGGAATTCTCATGTACTACTGATGGGAATGCAAAAATAAGATGGTCACTTTGTATAATAATTTCATGAAGTTCCACCTCTAGGTATTTTCCCAAGTGAAATAAAATATTATACTTAAAAAAGCCTGTACCTTAATGTTTATAATGGTTTGTTTGTAATCAAACTGAAAACATCTAAAAGGTGTCTCAGCTGAGGAATGGGTAAACAATCTGTGATACATCTTTACAATAGAATACCACTCAGCAATGAAAAGGAATGAACGATTGATATATTCAAAACCATGGATGGGTCTCAAAAGCATAATGCTAAGTGAAAGAAGCTAGACTCAAAAGGCTCCAATACTGTATGCTTCTATTTGTTTTATGGCAAAGGCAAAAATCATAGAGACAGAAAACAGATCAGTAGTTTCCAGGAACTGAGGGTTGGTAAAGGATTGACTTACATAGAGTCAGGGAATTTGAAGGCAGGATGATAAAAATGTTCTGCATCTTTATTGTGGTGGTGATTATAAGACTGCATATGTTTATCAAAACTTGAACTATACACTCAAACAAGTAAATTGAACAAACTATGAGGGAAATAGTTGAAAGGCAAAGGAAAGTACCATTAATGTAATTGTTCTATATACCTGTAAAATATTTATATCTTGTGTTTTACATAAATGTTTTATAAAACCTTTTTATTCACTGATGTGTGATATTTGCATTATAAAGGTAATCTTATCAAGTTAACAGTGCAACTTGACATATTTAGGAAAAAAAGACTTAATTCTAAGACCTACATTACAATCAGAGAAATAAAAATCTGTAGTACTCTTTTTGGAAGACTATGCAATTAAGAACTGAAAGGAAAGATACTCTATGAAAATAGGAATTGGATTGGAATCAAATTATTTAAATTATGTATTTTATTGAAATTAATAGATGCAAAAAAATTTGGCATATTATAAAATATTCTACAAATACTAAATAGAAGAGCACAATGAGGGCTGGGCCTGGGGCTCAGCAGTAGCACACTCATTTCACATGTGTGAGGCCCTGGGTTGGATCCTCAGCACCACATAAATAAAATAAAGGTATTGTGTCCACCTACACATCAATCTGCTTGGTTTGGACCCTGTTTCAACCACCTTCTAGCTATGTGGCCTTGGACAAGTTACCTAAACCTGCTGACCCTCTATTTTCCCAATTGGAAAAAGGGAAATTTTGTAAAGACTAAATGAGAAAATACCTCTAAAGCACTTAGCACATATAGTGCTAGATACGAGGCACCTCTTACTAATTATGTAATAAAAGAAATTCCAAGCTTTTCATAATTTGAATTTAATTAAAAATATGGGTTTCCTGGGGCTGGGGCTGGGACTCAGTGGTAGAGCACTTGCCTAGCATGCTGAGGCACTGGGTTTGATCCTCAGCACCACATAAAATTAAATAAAATAAAGGCAAGCTATCCGTCTACAACTACAAATTAAAAAAAAATATGGGTTTCCTTCAGGAATTAGAAATACTTAGATTCATCCAAGAGGCTGATTAGAGTGGCAGAAGTTTGAACAAGCAAGTTGGTCTTGTTATCATCAGTCCTTTCTTGCTCAACAGGTGGAGAAGAGCTGTGTCCTTCCTCCACATCATCATACATAAGCAGGCGACTCTAATAGGCTGGGCCAAGAGTGCAAAATTTAAGGAGCTCCAGGCACCTCACTTGCCTCCCCTTAGCCTGGGTCAACCTTCCCTCCAATATTCTAATTTCCATAACTCTCCCAACCCAGATTTTTCACATTTTTCCAAAGCAGGAAAATATGTGCTTCTGCTTCCTTTTAAACTCTCCTTGAAAAGATTAAAACTTTGGTGACTAATTATTAGCCTCTACTATCATTGTATCCTGGATTCTGTTTGTGGGTTTTTTAAAAAATACTTTTATTTTAAACTAAACACTTTTTTTTTCTCTTTATGCACACAGGAATCTCTCTTTGAAGGAATCTGAAACCTTGCTAACAAAAAAATGATGTGCATGAATCTCATCTTTTCCATAATCCAAAAGTAAAAGAAAATTTGCTGAAAACAAGTAAATTCACCTTCAAGTGATCTTATTTTTTTAACTTCATAAAACTTGGCAACATTTTTTGAGTTTTTAGCTTTATGATGGTATCTTAGTATATAAGAGTTTTTTAATGTGTTGCTTGATTTGCTTCTTTATAGAATCTCAAATTTTGCTTTCCACGTGTGACAGTTCAAAGATCTATTTGCTTTATTACTCATTACACACAATTTACTGGGGAAATAAAGATGAGCTTTCCTATTCAATAGAGGGCCTTTTTGAATCAATGGAATTTGGGTGTGCCTCTTTCTAAAGTGTGAATCTAATTACAGTTATTGAATGAGAACAGATTTTAGAAACCCAAAGATCCTTCTGATTTACAAATATACTTAATGTTTGGACTGGTATGTCCGAATATAACAAATACCACCATTACTATCTACAGGTTGGTAATTTCACTTTGGAAAGTTAGAAAGCTACTGGAAAGCATACAAAAACATATTATATACAAGAGCAGTTTCTTTGATGACACTTTAAATTTGATATTATTTAGTTACCCCCAAAGAAAAGAATGTTCCAATTGTAGACATTGTTTCTAATATGTCCTAATTACGTTGCTAGAAAGTATTGTGTGTCCACTCAGACTTCACCCGGGAAAACGACGGGTGCAGGACGCACGGCAGCTTTATGGTATCAGTATATAAGAGTTCTTTAATTTCATGTTTGATTTGCTTCAAGGAAATCGGAGGGTTGGGAGAGTCAGAGCGGAATGCTCTGTCGGAATCGGCTTGGGGGCGCAGCGCCCGTTTATAAAGGAGCTTTGGATCTAGTTTCTCCTTGCACTGCTGCAAACCACACACCGTTTGGGGGCACAGGTGCAAAGCCAGTAAAGAATTGTATGTCTGAGAAATTAAAATAAAAAAGCTGTTGCCCCGAGGGATGACAGAATCGCGGGCTAGGGTCCATGTTCCTAAAACATAACAACGGGGACATTCGAGGTCTTAAGCAAGGTGCAGTTTTGTCTCACAGCGCCTACCTAACCTGGTCACGGAGTACTGAGGTGGGGGGACTACTACCATGCGTAATGAGGACAGCATGAAATATTTACCTTGTGGTAGGATAAAAAAAAGCTAATGCATCGACGTGGCACACTCGACATTCCTCGCAGAAAGCTGTCACGCGCAACCAAACGGCGTTCCCTGCGCGGGCCTGGAAAGTGGCCTGGAATCCGACTGGGGCCAGGTGGAAGGACAGCGGCGAGGTTAGACCCTTTCCCACCCTACGGACACCCCCAGCGCTGGACCCTGCAACCCCCGCGCCCCGCCTCTGGGAAAGCAGGGCGCAGCGCGGGAGCTGAGTGGCGGACGCCCCACCCCCTGGCCCGCCCTGCTGGGCGGTTTGATTAATGAGTCTCCCTCAGCCAAGGTTCTTAGAGGCCTCAGCCCGTAGAGTTACCCCCGCATGGGCGCAGGCCTCCGCCCGACGGGCTGTGGCGGTGGAGGTACGTACTCATGGCCTCAGGGATCCCTACATAAAAGGCGTGACCAGAAGAAGCTGAAAGCAGCCTTTGGCTTTGGCTGGACAACGATGGAGTGACCCACGCGGCCCTGTCTAGCAGACCCGGCTTGACGTACCCGTCCCCTTACCCAGCAGATCCAAGACCCGCAAGGCGGCTTCAGGAAAGGTGAGGTTCCCGGTCCCTCTCGCTCTGCACAGTTCGCAAGTTTATAGCGGTAGCCGGTGTCTTAGTCCAGGGCGAGGCCAGGGGTCCCCGTTTCTCAGGCGGAAATTTCCTAAGGGCGCAAAAGACCCGAGGGCGGCCGGTGTGCCACCTCGCGTGGTAGAGAGACATCAGGGTTTCCCGCCCAGCCGGCGAAAATGATTCGCAACACTTCCCGCGGGGCTGGCCTAATAACTGCCGGAGCACCAAGTGCCGAAACGGAGCTGTGCTTCCGAGATCTTCCTTCCCTGGTACAGTAGCCCTTGAGCTTAATTTGTCCTGAAAAAAGCAAAGCCCATCCCAAAAAGGCAAAACCCCTCTTCGTACTTTTACGAAGCTCAGAAACTTTGAGGTTCCACCGTTCTGCCCAGGCGCTGGAAGGCAGAACATACCACTTCAAAAGAGCTCATGTCTGAGAAACCCTTAACCACGTCGAGCGGCCGGGCCGGCGCGCGGCGTCAGCTAGAGGGTTGCACCCCTCAGGTTAAACCCAACCGCGCCCGGTCCTCACTGCGCTTTCGGTCCTTTGCAGCGCGCGCTGTGCGCAGGAATCCACCATGGACCGCGGCCGCCCGGTGAACAGCCCCGAGAGCGCCAGTGCTGAGCCCGGGCCCCCGGCCACTGTCACCCGCGACTCAAGCCCGGGGCGTATTGGGATCGGAGCGCGCTCGGGAGGCGGCCGGCCGGCCGCGGCGAACGCGGCGCGGGAGCGCAGCCGCGTGCAAACCCTGAGGCACGCCTTCCTGGAGCTCCAGCGCACGCTGCCGTCGGTACCACCCGACACAAAGCTATCCAAGCTGGACGTGCTGCTGCTGGCCACCACTTACATCGCGCACCTTACCCGCAGCCTGCAGGACGACGCCGAGGCTGCGGCGGATCCTGGTCTGGGAGCTTTGAGTGGCGATGGCTACCTGCACCCAGTCAAGGTAGGCGGGAGGGCACACTGCGGGGCTGGGACTGGGAGGAGGATACCTTGAATCTGCCTTTTCACCGCCTGGGCAGATGCCACGGAGCTCTAGTTACTCCTCGTGGGTGAGGAGACCTCGGCCCGAGGGGGCACTGACACCAAGAACCCACACTGCAAGAGGCTGCCTGCTGAATGAATCCGTGGCTTGGACTGGAGTCTGTCATGCCCTTTACAGGATGGCAATTTAAGGATTTTTGCACTTTTCAGGGTGAGAAAGCTTGGGTTATTTTAATTTCATTGTATTTTTTTATGGGAAATTTGAAAGATATCACGAATGAAGTGGAATCATACAATTAATTATCTTCCTTTAATTAATCCTAGGAAAACGTTTGAAATTGTTCGGTAACACCAAGAACAAATGAGACGGTTCTACATCTCCATGAAACAAATTTTCAGTCTGTTTAAATAAAGGTTAAAACCATAGACCAGACAGCTAGTAAGAATGTTAGAAAAGCTATAATGTTTTATGTATTTTCATAATAGATTGGCATGTACATTGAGCGAATTGAATAAATATTATATTCAAAGTTTGTAATGTACAAAACTAGCCAAGACAATCCATTTTGCGTAATTTGTTTACATATAGGTAGAATGATGACAGATGTCATTTAATATGATATATAGGACTAAAATTAATAATTTATATTGCATAATCTATATCATCCATTTCCCCTAGATTTGTTTTGAAACCTTACATTAATCCAACTTCCTACTCAAAATGCATAATCTTTTCTATATTTGCTAACCCTAAATTTTCAAATTTTTGTTTCTTCCATTCTGAAGTATTTTATAGCATACACACGCAAATACAAAATTAGGACTTAGGTTTAAGTATGTCATTGTTCAATAAGTTAGTGAATAATCATTATTGAAATATGGTAAGGGCTGGGGCTGTAGTTCAGTAGTAGAGTGCTTGCACCGCAGGTGTGAGGCACTGAGTTTAATCCTCAGCATCACATAAAAGTAAATAAAATAAAGGAATGCTGTCCATCTACAACTACAAAATTTTTTAAAAAAAATTTTTTAAATACGGTAAAGCGGGCTGGGTTGTAGCTTGGTGGTAGAGTGCTTGACCCGCACTTGTGAGGCACTGGGTTCCATCCTAAGCACCACATAAAAATAAAATATTGTGTCCAACTACAACTAAAAAATAAATATTTTAAAAATATATATGTATAAAATATCATTATTTATAATTAGGATAGACCCCCCCCCATCCCATTCCTGAGTTTTATAACATGATCTCTGTTGAAGTCATTCATTCTGATTAAGGGGATTTATATTACTTTGTGTATTAGATTGCTATTCATATATACCACTAATTTAGATTTCTTTTGACTTGACATTTGCTGTTTACTCTAAAAAAGTTTAACATTAAGTATATTCTAACATAAAAGTATATGTTAAATTTCTCCTTTGTGGGAGCTATGATTCAGAATGAGAAATCAAGTTTTTCACCTTAATTTCATGGAGTGAGTTTTTTTTTTTAATGAAAAATATTAGAAGCATTAATGTTAGACTGTAACAGTAAGCATAACAAACTTTTTTATACTTAATTCATGTACCAAATATTTTTGTAGTCATATAATTGTTTTATGAAATTAAATCTCATTTGTTCTCTGAATTATTTTGATCATTAATGAACAATTCTAAACATTATGATAGAAGGTCAAAGATTCTCTCTTAGAAGTGAAATTGAGGGCTGGGGTTGTAGCTCATTGGTACAGTGCTCACCTTCCATGTGGAAGGCACTGGCTTTGATCCTCAGCACCACATAAAAATAAAATAATGGTATTGTGTCCATCTACAACTAAAAATATATATTTTTAAAAAAGTGAAATTGATGTGTAACAAGTAACAATATATTTTAAAATCAAACATTTGAGTTTCTGCTATGAGTAAAGCAGTGTTTTGGGATAGTAAATACCCTTATGAGTAAGACTCAGTCCTTGACCTAATTGAACATATTATAGAAATGAAAATAAAAATGCAAATAACGGTATAATGCTGTTAGGTAAAATGTTATAACCATGTGCTAAGGAGGTTCAAAGATTTTATATATGCAATTGAAACCACCTGTTAACATTATTTTACAAAAGAACCAAAATGTTTAAATAATAAGTCTATCTTTACTGTAAAAGGAATAAAAATATTATGATCTTTTTTAATTAACTAAAGATTCATTGTAAACTATATTAGTAGGTATTCTAAAATGATTTTATGTTTCTACCTTAGAACAGTGTTACTAACTTCTACTCTGATAACAAAAGATCTTTTAACAAATACTTCCGATGCTGTGATTTTGAAACATCAATCCTTATTACCAATATATTAGCATCTAAGAGCTGTTGGGGACCTACATGAAAATATCTGAAACGAGGGATCAGAGGTATAGCTCAGTGGTAGAGCTCATACTTATCATTCTTACCATCTCCAGTAGGCAAAACCAAAAAAAAAAAAAAACCTCAAATGAAACTGGAGTTTTAAGAAAGTAGGCTTAGACTCCTGGGGCCTACACCCATACTTATCTCTTTGTACCATAAGCATTTTGGATCAGTAACAATTTGGCCCAAAGAGCAGTGGTTTTCCAGGAGAACAGGAATGTATTTTTAGACCTTTACTTTGGGAGAAAAGCACAGATGACTTTATTAATTGCCATACCCCTTGAGAATCATTGTCCATAAGAAAGTAGAGTTCACAGGGGCTGAGGTTATGGCTCAGTGGTAGAGCACTCGCCTAGCACATGTGAGGCCCTGGGTTCGATCCTCAGCACCACATAAAAATGAATAAATAAAATAAAGGTATTGTGTCAACTACAACTAAAAAATAAATATTAAAAAAAAAAGAAAGTAGAGTTCAGGATTATGTTACTCTATGTGGTGCTATAATAAATCACTGAAAAATGGAATGTAAATCAGTCAGCTGGCTTTTTGGCATCTTGTTGACATGTAACCCAACTAATATTTACATTTTAATTTCTGACTCTTATAAACTATTTCTGTGTCCAGGCACACCTGTAATGCCAGTGGCTCAGGAGGCTGAGGCAGGAGGATCACAAGTTCAAGGCCAGCCTCAGCAACTTAGCAAGGCCCTAAGCAACTTAGTAAGACTCTGTCTCAACACAAAAATATAAAAAACAGGCTGGGGATGTTGGCTCAGTGGTTAAGTGCCCCTGAATTCAATCCCCATTATCCACCCCCCAAAAGAACTATTTCTCAGCCTACATTAAGTTGAATAAGATCTTTATATACAAACTTTGAAAATCAAGGACACAAAATTCTTAAATTTGAAAACTTTATTGTGTAATAAATACATGTAAATGAGGCAAAAATCCACATTTTTTTGTTGCTTCATTCATTATTTATGTCCCAGCAAGGATATAAGGAACAGACTCTTTGATTGACTGTATGCTTAGTTGAATGATTTAGAGCAACTCTAACATAGTGAGCGCTGGGTAGCACATGAGAACCAGAGGGGAGCATTCAGTAATATTTCTGTCTTTTTTGATCTTAGATATATTTAATTCACTTAATTCTCAAATTACATTTGAAATATGAGCATGAATTTTTTATGCTTATGAAAATTGAACAGGGGTCTGTTGAGAAGCACTGATACATAATATTGCCAAAAACTCTGTACTTGAAATTGATGATTTCTGCCCTACCTTATTTCATTACATTATTTCAGTAGAGTTTACAGGGTCTGAGGTTATGGCTCAGTGGTAGAGCACTCGCCTAGCATGTATTAATCTGCTCAGGCAACCAAAACAAAATACAACAGACTGGATGTCCTAAACAACAGAAATTTATATTCTCATAGTCTGAAGGCTGGCAAGTCCAGATCAAGGTGTGGTAGGGGTCAGTTCCTGTTGAGGGCACTCCTCCTGGCTTCCAGATGGTCCACTTTTCTCTATGTTGTCACATGGCCTCTCCTTGCTAAGGTATACACACCAAAGAAAGGGGGGCAGAGGCAAACACAGACAGACACACAGACCAGACTTTTTCTTCAAAGGCTATTAGTCCTTTATGATCTAATCTAACTCTGATTACCTTCCAGTTAATCATCTTGGAGTTTAAGGCTTTAAGGTATGCATTTTGTCCCTAACACCACAGCACTGGGGTCTTAAGCATAATGTAGGACTTAAATCTGATCTAACAAGGCCAAACCTTGACACATCAGATGAGCCTCAGGCCATTTCATAAAACAATTTGGTTTGGCAGTCTGGCAGGAATCCTAAGGGCAGGACCAGTGACAATGATGTACCCAGAATATATATGAATGTATTTGTGTGATTTAAAAAAATTCTGAAATGAATTTGGAAAAATAAGTATCACAATGTCAATCTTATTTCTCTATCAAACATACCATACAAGGTTATTTTTAGGAAGACTAAGTAGGAGTAGACTCTTTTAAATTCCAAGTCATACAAATTTTAAATTTTATTTGTATTTAAAATCTAGATTGCTCAGATGGATGTGGTGGTACATACCTGTAATCTGAATTATCCTGGAGGATCATGGGTTCAAGGCTGGCCTGGGCAACATAGTGAGACTGAGCTACAGGGAACACATTCACTATCACATCTGGAGACATTAATATAGATGTTTGTTGGATGCCACAGAACAACAGAACAGAAGCTTTCCAGATAATATCACATCCCAGTTATTTTTCTTTTATTTTTATTAAAATTTTAAAAGTGAAACATAAAAATCATATATATATATATATATATATATGTATATGTGTGTGTGTATGTATATATATGTATATGGAGTGCAATGTGATGTTTTAAAACATGTATGTTATATCATGTTTAAGTCAGGGCAAGCATATTTCTTCAAACATTTGTCATTTTTTTATTCAGTGAAAACATTCAGGAATTCTTTCTTCTGGTTCTTTTGAATATAAAACATATTGCCTGTAGTTATCGTGCTGTGCAGTAAAACACCAGAACTTAGAAATTTGGAATGCTTCACAAATTTGCATGTCATCCTTGTTCAGGGGCCACTTTAAGCTTCTCTTATCATTCCTGTTTTACTATATTTAGAATGTAATTGGGTTCTCAATCTTTAGAGCTAAGTTTTGCATGTGATTTTTTTTTTTTTTTGGACTTAGTTTATAAATCTGTGGATAGACAGATTTTTCTGTACTTAACTATATATTCACTCTTTTCTTGTACACATATGCACATAGTTTTATGGTTATAGTCAAAGTCTGGATATATTTTTACTTACATTGTTAGCATTAATAAACATTTCTCTAATATTCTATTAGACTTCATAATTATAATTGTTACTGGCTGTATAATATTGCATTTGCTCTGGGGTATTTGGAATTTTTAATACTGCAAATATGTTACATATGTCCCAGATACTAACTTTTGGAATCTTATTTAAATATTCTCTTTTCAGAAATGGCCCATGCGATCAAGATTATACATTGGTGCTACTGGTCAGTTTCTGAAGCATTCGGTCTCTGGAGAAAAAGCAAATCATAGCAACACTCCAACAGACTCACAGCCGTAGGGACTCTCATGGTGTTAGCTGGTAGAAGTGGTGTCTATTGTTTTTAAATACTATGAAAGAATTATAATTTATTACATCAAACATAACAAACATCATTTCTGAAAGTTTACATTGGAGCCCATAGTTTGATGTCCAGATTTATCTGTCTAAAGGTAGAATGAGGTAATCAATCTTATATAAAACATATTGTTTATCTATTCATTGTGAGAGTGATAGCTATATAGTACAAGAGAAACTAGTAGGAAAATACACACAAAAGGAAACAATTATGTATATATCCAAAGAAGACACACATTTTCTGTAGTATATCTATTGTAAATGTAAAAGCCA